AAACAGAAGTACTCGGAGAAAACCCGCCCCAGCGCCACTTTGTCCACCACAAACCCCACTTGACCAGACCCGGTATCGAACCCGGGCCGCCGCGGTGGGAAGCCAGCGACTAACCGCTTGAGCTATGGCGCGGCCACTTTCAGGATAAATGGTAGTCGAAGTTGTAGAAGGGTCCCCTGGGAGTTCGTCTCTTGGAACGCACTGACTTGTGAGGTGGAAGCTACATTGACTCCAACTTTCAGGTTCTGTAACAGTGGATGGTTCGAGAAGGAACTTAGCAGGAACTACATACAAAAATATTTATAAGTGGAAGCACTTTTCTTCACCTCAGTGTTTTGGTAATTGACTTAGAAAATATGCAACGTTTATAAAAATGCAATTTTGTGTAGAATTAAAATAATAACATGAAAGCCGTGTGAAAATTATTTTTAGATTTCTGTTTTATGGCGGTAATTATTGAACTACAATTCGATACGGAGACATCATAAACAGATCAGCACATTTTTGTATGACTGTTGTTTGTAGGCCAGCAATCACAAATATTGGGACGATACGAAACATTGAGGTTATATCCCACAAACTCGACGTTTTAATATATAGACACTGTGCTTAGAAAAGAAGTTCAAGAAATATACGAGTATATACAAGAGGAGAATGAGCTTTATGAGTTTTGTAAGATTTGAGGTTTTCACGGCCGTGACTATGAAGAAAGCATGTGGCACCGTGAGACCCGGTACAAGCAGACTGGTCCAGTCTGAAGATGGAGGCGATACGTTCCTCCGAAACGTCGGTTAACACCACATCTACGCGGTGCCACATCCCAGAAGACTGCTTTCTTCATTTATAAGTTTTGATTGGAACTTCTTTTTTATTATTTGCAACACAATTTTCTGAACACAGGTCTAGAATTAAGAACTTCACTTTCTTAATAGTGTTTTCTGTTTGGTTAGATAGAGTCATAGATAAAATAGGCCACGAAGCACTGATGTAAATATTAAATTCAGAAACAAAATACTCACTTCATTGGCATCTTCTCCATGTTTTTTAAAGTTATGAAATAAAGTCACTGTATGTTGTTGTTTTGGTGAAGAATTGTAGATCTAGCGGCACATCGGTTATGTCATGCATGTCACGCTACTGCAGCAACACTTCATCGTCCGAGCCAAGATGCAATAAGCGACTGTTGTCGCGAAACTATCGTAACAATAATATATACAGACAGGTCGGGAGGCGGCCTCGCTTGCTGTGCCTACGGCGAAGGGGGCTACCCCCCACTATCTCTTCAGTTTCTCCTTCTAACACACATGCCGCCTACATTTTCTTCCATCAATCATTTCTGTAAGCTTAACCCTAACCGTGTACCACGTCTCCAATGTTCTCTGTTCCACACTTTCTACGTGGGACAGATGAAACGCAGGGAAGAGGCCACCCAAGGACCTACATCTAGATAGAGAGATAACATTGTATTGTCTCATAAAGAAATAAGGTCCATGTGGGTCAGGGCGGTTGCGAGAGACCAGCTCTTGTCTTAACGATAACGCATCTACGCTCTGATAAAAGGAAGGGGAATTTGTTGGTTAGTTGAGTAACTTTTAGTTTCTTAAGGATTTTGCTCCATTAAGCTATTGTCAACTGTTGTTCAGTCGCCGAGCCTATCCCCACTTTTCTGTGACCTCCCCTCCCTTCACAAAAAGGAAGTTTATGCGCCCCATCCTGTATTTATAAGTAGCTAAGACAATGGAGAGAAATGCCCCTCAAGAATCAATTAGCTGCTCAATTTTTCGCGGAAATCCAACGTTCATTACCATGCTCACAAGTTCCGCCAGTGTTCCATATCCGGAGTCAAATTTATGCAGCCCACTCTGTTTATTTAAGATACATTATAACTTTATCCTCTCATTTAGACCTAAGTTTTCGAAGTTATTGGTGTGTTTCCTCAACGGTGTCCGAATAAAATTATGTATACACTTCCTGTCTCCCTCACGCGTGCTGCATGTTCCAACCATCAGGTCCTCATCGACCCGGTCATCCTTATAACGTGTACTGAAGCGCACAACTTATGAAGCTCCTCGTTATGAAATATCCTCCAGTTTCATCCTAATTCATTACTCTTAGATCTAACTATATTTCCCATCATCCAGTTCCAAGAGAGCACTTTCCTCCGTGTGAGAGCCATACCCATCCGTGTCACGTAGAAATATACGGGGTTTTGTAAGTTTCAAATTTTCCCTCTCAGATTATGGACTCGGTGGTGGCAGTCATTCCGGAATTTATTCTGCTCATTATATCCTCATGGATGCAATTTAGATTTATTACGGCTCCTCACGAAATTTGAACTTTGCTATAACCGAAATTTCTGAAGGACATGTCACAAGTTGTGCCTGCTGCTGCTGCTGCTGCTTCTGCTTCATTTCATGCCTTTGATTGACTTATTCTTCAGTCCTGAAGATAGAGGTCACGTGTTCTCCTAAAACACTGGTTGACTTACACCGGAATATTCGGCGTTATGTTGCAGAACATACTAGTAGAACTCTCCTGAGAGAACCTCAGATCATAATGACTCATACATATTTATGATTGCGCATGGCATATACGCATGCCTTTTGTGAAAAAAAAAATGCCTCCATCCCTTCATTCATCCAAGCACCCACCAACCACATCCATCAATCGCATACAGCCATCCGTCCTTCCAATATCCATCGACTTCTATTTGTCCGTCCATCCTACAGTCCGCCCATCCGTCCGTCCCTTCATCCATCCTTCCGTCCACCCATCCGTCAATATATCCTTCCGTCCTTCCGTCTGTCGATCCCTCTATCCATCCATCCGTCCATCCGTCCATCCATCCTTCCGTCCATCCATCCTTCCGTCCATCCATCCGCCCGTTCGTCCATCCATCCGTCCGTCCGTCCATCCATCCGTCAATATATTCTTCCGTCCTTCCGTCTATCGATCCCTCTGTCCATCCATCCGTCCGTCCGTCCATCCTTCCGTCCGTCCGTCCATCCATCCATCCATCCATTTGTACGTCCCCCCCCGGCAGGTGTCTATGGCCCCGAGAGGAAACACTAAACTGAAGGGAACAGGAATGAAGTACGGACACAAGTGTCACTGACATTGGTAAGTTGCGTATGTTCTTCTGTCCATAATCCGAGAAATGAGGCACGTGCAATCCATTATTTGCGTTGCCGTCTTATGTGTGTGCTCTTTCAACTATGTGATTCACTGACCGGTAAGACAGGTTTTTCCGAGGACCAATCTCACTTTCTGCTTTACATTTCCTACAATTTAATCACCACTAGAACCTTAAAGGCCTTGTTTGCAATAAATAGAAAGGATGATCTGTGTGGAGGCCATGTCTGCCCGTCTACCTGTGTGCTTGTTACCTAGTAACATTGCCTAACGTGTTCGACTGATTTCTTTGAAACTAGATATTCAGCGCTTTCATGAACAGTTATCGATCACAATTCGAAATCCACTTTTCTTAAGGCCACAATAAATCTGCTAGCATAAACATGTCCCAAGTAAGCTTAATAAACTGTGAACAGGCCAATGAGAATTTGTACTGTGACTTGCAGGCCCGCTGCTAGGCAACGACCGTGAAAGAAGCAGCTGTACAACAACCTATGCTAAATAACGGCTTTGCAAGCAGGTATGTTCCCATGGCAATAATTGCACAACGATAATACAACGTTTTCTATGTGGTCCTTGCCGAGATGTTATAAGTAGGACAGTTAATTCAGTGAGTGAGTTGAGTTGAGTTAATTGCTTGGTGAGCGAGTTAATGAGAGAACTGTTGAGGTTCAGTCGTTGTAGGCTGTTGCTATGAGAAGCTGGTAGTTGAGGCCGACGATAGTTCGGAAACACAGAGGAAGGCGAACGTCCGCTGTTGGAAGCCGCTACCGAGCAACGACTAATGCAAACCTACTGTGGGGTCTACTATGTGTGTGTGTAATGGTGTATTGCAAAATGTAGCTACGCAGTATTTCAAAGAGTCCAATAAACCCGATCCTCAATCCAAAAGCCGCCTGTAGTCACTCATACACGTGACAGTACATTATTTTGTGAAGTATACCGTTTCCTTGCTTTACGTTACTTGTCGTGAATTAGGCCCCTGGTCTGTTCCGTTTCGCTTAGTGGGGGATGGAGCCCAGATGGACCCACTCGGCACGGCGGCCACTGATTGGCATATTGTACCTGCCCCGGGTGATTATGATGATGGAGAATTTGGTGGAATGAAGATTGGCAAGGTAAACCTTAGTATTTGGAGAAAACCCGCCCCAGCGCCACTTTGTCCACCACAAACCCCACTTGACCAGACCCGGTATCGAACCCGGGCCGCCGCGGTGGGAAGCCAGCGACTAACCGCTTGAGCTATGGCGCTGCCTTTGTTCCGATTCAGT